CCCCGAGACCCTCAAATCTGCGTCTCCTGCACGTTCTCCTTGGAGGGGCTCTTGAAGAGCAGGGGCTCGTGCACCGAGTTGAGCAGCGGCGTCTTCCCGCAGCCCAGCGCCGCCGCCGGGCCCCCGTAGTGCGCGGCCAACGCCGCGTACCTGTCCAGGTGCTCCCTCTCCAAAGCCGGCAGAGCCAATCGATTGTCCCCACCTGTCCCCGCGGTGCCACCGGAGCCGCCGGTGGTGGAGCCGGGCCCGGCCAGCTCGTCCTCCACGTTGACGATCTCGACGGCGCGCGCGGGGCCGCCGCGGTGCTTGTGGCGCTGGTGCTGCTTGCGGAGCTTGTAGAAGGCCACCAGCATGACGGCGGCCATGAAGGTGATGGCCACGAAGCAGCCGATGATGATCTTGGTGGTCTTCAAGACGTCGTCCAGGTCTTGGAGGCCTCCTCCCGTTCCTCCTCCTCCTCCTCCTGCTCCTGCTCCTCCCGCGGCTCCTCCGGCGGCGGCGGCGGCCGTGATGGGCACGGTGAAAGGTTTGCCCGTGGCTCGCGTGGCCGGCGCGGCCGTGGAGGCTCCGGCGCCCGGTTCCCAACCGGCCGCCGTGGGAGCCGCGGGGGTTTGGGGGCCTTGCTCGTCGCCTCCGGCGCCCTCGGTGGTCTCCACGGTGACCGTGGTGAAATAGGTGTAACCGGTGGCGGCCGCGGCGGCCGCTGCGGCGGCGGCGGCGGCGGCGGCGTCGGCGGCCGAGACGTTGAGCGTGGCGGTGGCCGTGGTGTTGCCGGCGGCGTTGGTCACCATGCACGTGTACTGGCCCGTGTCCTGCACGGTGACGTTGGTGAAGTTGAGCGTGCCGTCGTGCAGCACCGAGATGCGCACGCGGTACGAGCCGTGCGTCATCAGCGTGCCGTTGGGCGTCAGCCAGTTCACCGACGTCATGGCCGTGCCCGTGCGGCACTTGAGCTCGGCCGCCATGCCCTCGGTGACGTTGAGGTCGGCCGGCGGCTCCACGATGACCGGGGCGTAGCAGGTGAAGTGGCCGGGCTCCAGCTCGCCCAGGTAGCGGCCGCGCAGCGCGGGCGGCGCGTGGCAGCGGGCGCAGCAGCTCGTGTTGCTGGGCACGGTCTCGCGCAGCCACCAGCTCAGCCACAGCACGTCGCAGTCGCAGCGCCACGGGTTGTGGTGCAGGTGCACGCGCTCCAGCCGGTGCAGGGGGGCGAACAGGTCGTGGGGCAGCGAGGCCAGGTCGTTGTGGGCCAGGTTGAGCTCCTCCAGAGCCTTCAGGTCGTCGAAGGCGTTGCGCTCCACGGCCGCCACCCGCGCGTGCATCAGCCACAGCTTCCGCAGGCTGCCCAGCCCCTGGAAGGAGCCCGGCCTCACCCGGCCCAGGCGGTTCCCGGACAGCTCCAGCTCCTCCAGCCTCACCAGCGCCGTCAGGTTCGGGATCTCCTTGAGGTTGCACATGCCCAGGTTGAGGTAGCGCAGGTTGACCAGGCCCTCGAAGGCGGCCTCCGAGATGTACTCGAGGCGCTTGAGCTCGCCCAGGTCGAGGCGGCGCAGCGAGGGCACGCGGTTGAAGGCGTAGCTGGGGATGCTCTCGATGGGGTTGTTCCTCAGCCACAGCTCCCGCAGCTTGGACAGGTACTCGAAGGCCTGCGTGGGCACCGTGGTGAGCCGGTTGTCGAAGAGCTCCAGCGTGTTGAGGTTGGGCAGGCCGTTGAAGGCTCCCACCTCCACCTTGCGCACCAGGTTGCGGCTGAGCTGCAGGATCTCCAGGTGCCGCAGGTGCTTGAAGGTGTCGGTGCGGATCACCTGGATGTGGTTCTCCTGCAGGTTCAGGTAGCGCGTGTTCACCGAGATGCTCTGCGGCACCTCCAGCAGCTCGCGCCGCGTGCAGATGACGCGGCTGGCCTGGTTGCTGCACGTGCAGGCGGCCGGGCACGGCGTGGGCGAGGAGGCCGCCGTGGCCGGGAGCCCCGGGAGCGTGGTGGCCACGGCCAGCAGCGGCAGCAGCAGAGGAGGGAGGAAGGAGAGAGGCCGAGAAGGAGCCGGGGGCCACCAGCGAGGGCGCCGAGGTGGCCGCGCCATCCTAAGGAGAGCCATGGCCCAGGGGCATCGCCGGCTTCAGGGGCCCGGGTGGTGCTGGGGGGACACGAGAGAGGGGAGAGGGGGAGTTA